CCCCAAAACCCCAAAACCCCATCATGCTTTCATATAATCATTTGCAACTGTTGTAAAATATTTCAAAATATAATATAACATCATTTTTAATCACAAATGATATAATCAGACAAAACTAGAAAATTTAGTTTTTTTCAAGGTAGCAATGGGATGTTAAAGATACTTATGCTATCCAGCTTAATTTTTCATCTCTTTCATATCATCTCTCATTTCCTAAACAGTACTTAGAAGTGTCTACATCATAGCCTCTATATTATCCACTCTCTTACTCAAGTCTTATGTGTTTTAGCTTTACTGTTAAATTTGCTCCTAAAGATTTTAAGTGTTTTAATTATCGTCAGCGATCACCATACTTTTCCTAGCACTAAATTTGTTCTTGAACTTTTAAATGAAAGTCTTCTAATCAAGATTAAAGTTTTCACTGTTTGCTACGCTTGACTCTTATTATCGATTCTAGAGCAGCTTTGACTTTTTTCTTTCTAGTTTTAAAACAGGAACTTCCTTTGATTCCGGCTACTGATCACTTCCATCAAGGTCTTCTAGCGGCAGAATATCAATTTTTATTCTCGATCTTTTACTCGTATTCGAAGCATCACCCGGTTGATTTGTATTTTCTTCCTCCTTTATTGAAACTTCCTTTTTATCCTCTATGTTATCCTCATCATTATTTTCAGTTTTTATGCTTATACTACTGGACTTGAGGCTATCCTCGTCGTCTGATTCATCGGAACTATGAAAAGAACTTTCTATCTCCTCATCTATTTACTTCAAAGATGCTGAATTCGATGAAAAGTTAGCCACTGCTTTAACGTCAGAGAGAGTAAGAAGTTTCTTGAGCTTTTTGCTTTTGTATTCTTGAATATTGATTCCCAGTTTCTTTCCATTTTCCTTGTTAATTGCAGACTATAGTTGATTTAAAATATTATTCTGCATGTTTGAGCTCGTGTTACTTATTGAGTTAGCCTTCTCACACTACTCCATTGCATCAATTTTAAGTTTTAAGATTTTTTACAATCGTTTTAAGCTGTTGTTAAAGAGTCGATCGAATACTTCTGGAAATTCAATTTTCATTTTATCAACATCTTCTAAAGTGAGGATCAGAAGTTCGCAATTAATAATTGCTTGTATTGTGAACCTTCGGAAAATATCCTTGTTTTTTTATGTCTTCTTCTTAATATTTGTCTGAATGTTGAGTATCTCTGGATCATATACCAAATCAATATGCCCGAAAGTGTCTCCTTTTTCTATTTAAATATACACTGTGTTATGGAATCTTGGTATCACGTATCCTGCTACCCCTTTTACCAAAAAGTAAACTATTTTCAGCTTAAATATATACAATCTTACTTTCTTTAATGTCATCACCTTCCTTATAGATATAATCTTGTTCTGATACTAAAAATGGTCTGAGTAGTGGGCATACCCAAACTATAAAATTTTTATCTTATTTCTTGAAAAATTCTATATCTCTATAGATATCCTTATGTATTTCAAGAGCCAATTCTATTTTCAGTTTGTAGGGAAGCTCTGTCATGAATTTCATTACATCATGATAGTTTTTACTATGATCATACTTCACTGTTTTTCTAAGCTCATCAAATAAATCTGGCCGAATGTCATATTTTCTCTTTATATCATTAAGAGTTGCCATCTTCTCCTTCAATTAGGCCTAAGAAGCATCATAGTTAGATATGATACTAGATAGAGAACCAGTTGCAAAAGAAAAAGAGATCACTCCAATAATCATCAAAAAGATTGACATAAATTTTTCTCCAATGCTATAAGCATGAATATCTCCATATCCTACTGTAACTATTGTAGTGACAGTAAAGTAGAAGGAAGTTATATATAATGTGAAATCATCGAAATCCTAAAAGTTATTTTAGAATATCCAGTTTATCTTTGAGTATTCATCGAATCTTGCTGTGAATATCCTAAAATAGAGTATTATTCAACTTTTAAAATAATTACCATAAGCAGGCAGTTACATGGCATAGCACCAAGAAAATCAACATCATAAACAATAGCCTCTCAAAGCCGATACCTATCTGTAAGACCTCATTCAGATATTTAACAAATTTATTTCGTTCTTTTACTATCTTAAGCATTCTTACTAACCTAGTCATTTTAACTATCTTATAAATTTTGCCAATCCTTATCACTCTTGCTAATCTGTTATAACTTGCTTACTCAAAAATCTAGTCGAAAGGAATTATAGATAATAAATCAATCAAAAACCAAGATTAGAGATACTACTTTGCAATACTTCTTTTATCATCAATCATTTCATATTCTTTGTCATAAAAAGCGGACAAAAAGTTCACAATTATATCAATAAAGAAAATAACATCAACAACAGCGTTAATAACTAACCATGGCTAATCAGAATTTTCTAGAAATGCAATAGCATAGGGTCCTTATATACATGTATAGAGCAAAAGCCTAAAATTTATTACAAGTTATATATATTTACAGAGTTATGAGTAAATCCCACTTAGATTTAAACCATTCATCAGGATATATAATCCATTTCTTTTTACTATTTACATTAAATGTTCTCCTTGATGGATTGTTATCATCGATTTCTCCTCCAGTAAAATTCTCAGCCTCTTCAAAAACATCTATTGTTTTCTTTTTCCTGGCATCTTTAGTTCTTTAGCTTCCGAATTTTTTAATTGAACTCTTGCGGGGTAGATCATTATTTTGGTTAGTTTTATTATCATCGAGACTATTGTCGTCTTAGTTGTCAATTTCATCTTTACTCTCATTTATTTAGAGTTTTGTTTATTATTTGAAAAATTTATCTTTTTTAAAAATCCTTTAATAAGGCCTGATTTCACTGCATCTGATTTTGATTCTTTCACCTCTTCATCACATTTTTATTTATCAGCATCAAACATAGATACTTCGATCTTGGCTTGTTACATCTTCTCTCTAACTTGATTCTCGAAAAATTTGAAGAGAAGACCATTTCTATGGCCAGGGGATTCTAAATCATCTATGTCTCTTGAGTTAATAGGCTTAAAAAGCGCCTTTTAAGTGTTCACTGATAACTCCATCCTAACATTTTTCCCACTATCTTTTTTACTTCCTTAGGAGTTTTATGATTTTGAAGGAGAATCAGCAAGATCATTTTAAGTTGGAGAAACATTTCCACTTTTTCGCTATATTGGAGCTAAATTTAAGTCTTGATTCAAAAGTTTGAAAATAAGATCTGTTTATGTCTTCGGTTAGCGATGAGAGTTTTGGTTCTGATCATTTTCACTTGAGTTTTAAAGTTGATCAGATGATCATTATACGAAAGGTTATATCTGAATTACTTTATCTAGAGGTTGCATAAAAGCATTTCTTCTTTGCATACCTATATTATTAGGAGACAATTTCTTTTCATCAATCTGAAGTAAATCCTATTATTTTAGAATAGAATTTTGAATAAGAAAAGATTCTTCATTATAGTTTTGTCTTATTGATTTGCTAAAATTCATGTATTAAGTAGAATTCATCATAGACTCAGTATCAATGAACGATGCATCGATTTCTTCTTCTTAAACATTTTTTATTTTTTCGCTCAACCTTTTGATGCTAATAGTCTTTTTTTCGAAAAGCTTATTTGCCTCTACTTTAGTTGTAAAATTATCTTCTCCTTACATTTAAGCTAATAGACCAGAATTGGATTTATCAATGCTATCTCTCTTATTTTTGGTTGCTTTCATTTTTCTTAGAGGTTCTAATTTCTTCGGATGCTTAACTAATTATGATTTTATATTGATGCTTTTTGGGGAGTCCTCTTGCATTTTCTCAAAGAAAAATTTCTAATTAATAAATAATTCGATTAAATAATAATACCACATTTCAACATTAGATTAACTCAGTTTTCACACAATCACTTTCGAGGAATTTAAAAGACTCAAGTAATAACAAAATATAAAAGAAACTTAAGAATATATTATTTTACTTGTGAAAGATAGGGATAATTTCAAATACAGTTGAAGAAAATTTATGGCAGACTTTGCCATATATATAATCATAACTCCAATTCATCAATCAAATTAAACTTGGATAAAGGTTTAAATTTGTTGCAGATAATGGATTAGGAAGTTAATGATAAATATAAAAGCATGAGATAAAAAAGAGCAAGACACTTATAACTCTTTCCCAAAATTTTAAGTTTCATGTATAAATTCTTAAAATAAAGACTCATTGCAAATTATTAGATTTTACTTAGCAATTGGGGCGTTTGATTTTTTTCATTGTGATTATAGTATATTTTTCAGTTTATTTTATTAAAATTTCCTGCTCAAACAAATTTTTTCATCACGGGGTTTTGGGGTTTTGGGGTTTTGGGG